TTTCTTTTTTCTGTCTCTTGGCACCACTCGACTCTGCATCAGACTCACTGGGCCTCTGTCTCACTAAAAAGTTGTCCAGTGTGATTTGTTTTTGCCTACGTTTTAAAATGTTTCTAAAGTGACACATGGCATTATCACTGAAAATGTTTATGCTGTGGCTTGCTACTGCTTTATCGGGGTGATATCGTTCCACGAAACTTTGCACCTCACCCCATTTTGCACAAATTTCACGGATCAAAGAATTAGCAAGATCAGAGACACGAACACCATTTTCATGTTTGATTATGATTTCTTTCTTAACATCTATCATGATATTGGTATTTTTTCTTTTCACTTTGCTGCTATCATTGTCTTTCTTTGGCCCCATGCTGGATCATTCTTCTACGAATACTGCCGACGCTGATATTCCCAGCTTATCGCTCCACGATGTTGACGGCTTGCATGTTCGTAACTCGAGACACAGTACGTAATCCGAGACGCTTTGTGTTCGGAAAATTTGTTCGTAAACTGAATTGTTCGTGATCCGAGGCATTCGTGAACCGAGGTTTTACTGTATATCCAAAGCATATTTCTTCAATAACAAATCTTTGTTGAACTTGGTGTGCTCCTCGTAAGAACTGCCTGCTGTCATCAAACATCAAGGTGTTTTGGTTTGTTTCTATTTGCGTACCTACGAATCTGACATAAGGCAACTTGCATATTCAGTTATTTAATAGGAAGTTCCTAGTTAACTTGAAGGCATTCTTCTAAATTATGGTATATTATACCAACAAGTTGATTTGTACGAGTTACATATTTGAAGAAACATGTTTGCAATATCTCATATCAACATTCTAGACTGGAGCTTAATGGAGATTCAAACACTGATACACAATTAAAGGAAAATTACAAAATGCAAACTTAGTTTATCGCTTCTTTTCATATAAATATCCAAGTCTTACCAATCTTGTTGCTACATAATGCAGTTCCTTAAAATGCATTAAGATTACCATCAATTGCTACACACTTGACAAGGAAACATTTAAATGGTAAACATCCTTCCTCAGCTGGTGATCCTGAGATACTTAAAACTCTTTGCAAACTTAAATTTCTTTTAAAATTTATTACTGTTCACAGACTAATTTCTTCATCTCCTACACTGCCAATAAGTTACAAATATTTACTGCAAATCTTCCAACAGAAGTACAAAATAAACTACCTTACTGAAATAAACAGAAAGCACCTCTTTCAAACACAAAATAACCTCTTTCAAACAACAAAATAACTTTGTGAATATAATACACATATGCATAAAAATACAAACAACAATTTACTTGGCAGTCATAAGCATAACTGAACTCCTAATGTAATCTTAACAGCTGAAGAAACATCCATACACAGCCAAAAACAGAAAGAGCAAATCTACCTGCCTAGGTGTTTAAGGGGGCCTAATGACAACACAGACGAAGCACCAAGGCTTCCCAAGTTACATACGGCAGGGTTACGTGCTCCATCCACCGATACTATTGGCAATCCAAAATAGCCTCCTGACTGACTCACTAGTTGTGACAGAGGGACATAGTGATGTATACCAAGGCCAGCCAATCGGTTCAGAGCACCTGGTGCTTTCAGATCTACTATAGGTACGGCTAACTCAGCACCAGGCTGTACAGCTGGCTCCTTATGATATGCCTGTCTGTGCTGGAGCAAACCTTGCTGTGTTGGGTATTGAGCAGAGCAAAGACTGCATCTGGAACAAAATGTAAACCTCATTTATTACAACAGCATTGCCAAAATCAGACTCTGTATCCTTTGAAAAACTCTTCCACCACAGGGGAAATAAGACTCTGTGTAGGATACTACCACTGCAAGTTAAATGCATTGTGTGTATGTATCCCATCTTTTACTATCGAACCAACTGATCAATTTTTGCAAAATTCGGTAATTTGGTAAGGAAATAAATCATAAATACACTGACAAATTTTGAATAAAATACCGGTCAAAGTCAATAATTACAAATGATGATGGTGCAAGCCTTTGAGAATGTGTCTCACATGCTTATCATAGATAAAATCTGTATGCAAGTAATGATCTTTCCAAACAGAAATTACTAATATTAGTCAACAACACTAATAATCTGTAACATAAACCAACATTAACAAATGCTGGCCTGATTAAGATTAAATTGTATGAGCATTGGCATAGAAGTTCAGCGAGATAAACCGATGAATTAAACTGAATTACACTATTGAGTTATAAATTTACACTAATCAAATATGACATCAGAAACATAAGATTTGCAGCACCAGAATTCTGTACAACACAAAATTAGGCTTTGTGAGTTCTTCTCAAAATTTCTTGGTCATACTCTTTCATTCTATGAAGATAAACCTATTGGCTTACAATCAAAACAAGTTCCCACCTATATGGAAGTTTTCCTGGGCTACGATGAAGAGTCATATGCTGATTAAGGCTCTCTTGTGTTGAGAAAACTTTGTCACACACTTGGCATGCATATCGCCCCATCACACCTCTGCCCCTGCCTCTTCCTCTTGAGACACTGTGCAGTAATGGGGGTGGAGGAGGACCATCCCCCGTTAAGTCTACAGTAGGAGGGCGGGGCGGACGTTCCACAAGCTTCTGCGACCGGCTCACATTTCCTCGTCCATGAGGCACTGCAAAGTTTCCCTGTCAGGAAGCACACAATGTTTAAAATAAAAAAATGAATAGCCAAAAAATCCAGAAAAAATCTAGTATGTATGCATGTGAGCACAGACACAAATAACTTACATAAAAAATGTATCAATGCTTAGTGGTAGGTAGGCCACACACCGGCATGCGTCAAGACATGTAACAGTCAAGACACAATGTCTGTGACATGACGCAAAGAAAGGAGCACAGTTGAAACGAATGAGATTATGAAAACCGTTGAACACCAGAGTCATGATGCTGACATCAGCTTCATGCTGCAGACATGTGAAGCAGGACTCGGCATGTTCCTTTTCTGTGCGTCAAGACTGAGACATCAGCACTCAAGGAACAGCACCAGTGTACATTATCGACATGAGTGAAGAGCAAATAAATATTAAAATAGTGCAGACGGTTGAGAAATTCGCGGTAATATAAGATTATTCGTCCCTGGGCCACTCAAACTAGGAGGAGGTTGATAAAATTTGATAAGACTGGAATTTCACCGGATCGTTTAACAAGTCGCGCGCTAAAATGTACGCACCATGTTGAGCACATGACTCATTAAAGTCATGAATCCACTTCCTTTTCCTTCTTTTACGTAATTTAAGCCACATGTACATTAAAATATCTTCCTCACTGGATGACGACATGTCATCAACTACAGAAGATATGATAAGATGCAGACACGTGCTACTTCGGTGTGCGGACTCGAGTCTGAATCACGAATGAAGCAAGACTGCATCTTTTGTCTCATGTCTTGGTGCTTGTCTTGACGCAGTTGGTGTGCGGCCGCCCGTATGGTGAAAATGCGTTGATTTTAACTTGTAGCATTTCTCAGTAATGGGTCAGAGAATGTGGTGATGCAGTTCACTGAATCAATTCTACAAACAATAAAAATTATAGAGAGTGCATCTTCACAGACAACCCACAAAGTGAAGAATATGGTGGTAGATAATCAAAAACATGTTGAAAATAAGTACTGTATTGATGCTGGAAGTTATGTCTAATGTTCGGAACTCAATGAGTTGCGACAAGCCTTAAAGCAAAGGGTTCAATTAAAAACTGTATAAACAACATATCCATTTAAGATCTGAGGGTTTTATAACAGTGAAAACATGGATTTCAGTCTATGGGGTTGTGTCACTATGCACACTTGTGGGTAAGTACTAGTATTTAAAAAAAATGTAGTTTTCTCCCAAAACACTGAAATCACATATAAGACTACACAGTGACAAAACCCAGAAGACCTCAATTTCCACATCTATTAACAATTTATACCACAGTATAGATGGTCTAATTTTCTTGAACAGAACAGACCAAAGGTAAATTACCAATGATATGTGAGACTACAGATCTGCAAAGCTGCCTGAAAAGAATGCACATATATCATGCCATGCTAAATTGAAAAATATTTTAAAATGGGTTTCAATGTATAAACATGGTTGATAAAAGCAATAATAAATGTGTCCCTTATGCAATGAATCTGAGGCAATACTGATCTTCAGGTATTAAAAGATTTGTATTTTTTACCATGTTTTGTTATTGAACTACTTTTCATGCAGCCTAATTGTAGTTACCACATTTTTATTTAGCAACAACATATGACAGACATCTATGTCTACATATGACCTATCAAATTACCTTACTGATTTAATATTTAAGCTGCAAATGCCAACTGAAAAGTACTTTCCAATTACTTAACCCCACGACAATATTGGTGACTACTTCAAGACACAGTTACAGTGTGCTTACATTTAGAAGTTCAAATTTGATACAGACTTTTGATCACAGCATTGTCAATAAATTGTCTTACACATTTCATATTAAGCAGTGTTCTTGAGGTACTCTCCCTTTACATGTAAACTTGTCCTATCCCATGAAATGACTACAAAAACGGCAATGATCCACATCACTGTTTTTGAGGGAAGAAATGTAACTTCTGGGTCAAATTTTAAATGCCTGAGGGTAGACCATAAGAACAAAATTTCTGACAAACTATTACCTGCTGCTGTCTGGATGATGATGCAGTAGGCTGAGCTATGATAGATATGGCTGAGTTCAAATTAAGGGTAGTAATTGGCTGTGAAGCAGCCGGTGATGCCGACTGCGTTGCCGGAGATGGCCGTGCCTGTCTTTGTTGCTGCTGTGGACTCTGTTGTGTGACAGAACGGCCACCTGTTCCACCAGCAGGCGTAACTGTGATGCCCCGGGTAGCCAGAATGTTAGCTACAGCCTTAGCGTCACTCTTACTTTTCCCTCCACTTACTACAGGCTGGCCCACACCTGCACCTCCTTGAGGCTGCCTAACAGACAGTGTAATAGAGTCTGTCAAGTGAATCATTGACTCAGGACGTCCACTGTTATTTGTAGCACCCTGAACATTCCCGATCACTGGTCCACTGTCTGTTCTTTTTTGCATCGCTATCACATGACAATCGGCATCGTCATGTCTGTCTGGTAGAAGCACATCCATTCTTCTTTGCTTATTAGGTGAGCTACCAGGTGAATTAGTCACAACAGCTGGCCGTTTCTGTTGTAACCCCATTCTAGGCTGCTGCTGCTGCTGCTGTTGGACTATATTTGGCCGCTGCATACTATGTTGTGATGGGGCTCGTGGACGATTTAGTTGTTGACCCATGTTACTATATGGCCTGGGAGTGGGCAAAGAACCTGCAGGTGCAGGGTAATTATTCTGAGACTGCGGGTAAGGTTGTTGACTGTACATCTGTGGTGGCATCATATGCTGCTGCTGCTGGGGTTGCTGTGAATGATTAGGATACTGGTGTTGCATTCCTGGAGGTGTTCCAGGCACATTACCAGAACCAGGCACACGATACAAGGGTGGTGGACGGCGAACTGGAGGCTGAGGATAAGGTTGCTGGGGGGGCATTAGCTGATGAAGCTGTGGAGACATCTGCTGCACCACTGGCTGTGAAGAATGGTGGTTCATCTGATGTGGAGACAACTGCTGTGGTGGTGGAATTGGCAAACGCTGTACTTGTTGAGCCAATTGCTGTACAGGTGGTGGCTGGTGATGTGGCATTGAATATGGCTGAGTTGATGGAGGCTGTGATGAAGACTGTCCACTGCTGCCATGACTGACATGTTGATGAGAAGCTAATTCACCCAGATTTGAAAAAACCAGATTCCCACATTCCTGGTGTCCACATTTATAATGTCCAGACCTTGCCCGATGTTCGTCCAAATTTGATGTCTGTTCACCACACACATCGCAGCATGCTAAAGTGCTAGTTTCTCCAAGGCGTTCCAATGAAATATATTCTGATCCTAAGCCATCAAGTACATTCCCAACCACAGCAGAACCTGATGTAGTAACTGCTATAGCCTTATCACCTGTGGAAGGATCACAGAGGAAGCCACGGAGCAGGGAATCTGATGAATTCCTTCCACTTAAAGGGCCTGAATTATCATTTTCATGCCCTGGGTCTGCTGATGTCTGATCAGGTATCATTAAAGGATCTCGTTCCTCTAATGTCCCTGTATTAGACACTGGGTCATCAGCAGCAGCAGCAGGTACATTGGCAATGTCATTCCAAGTGAAATTTCCTGTTTCTGAAGGTAAGGATATTTCATTACTTTGCTCATTATTATGCTCATCTCGACCTCCTGATTCAGACTGCAGTTCTTCTTCAGGATTATCCACAGACGGAGACTGCCGATCCTCTTCAGGTGCTAAATGGTGGGAGTTGGAGTCCCCAGATGTTGCAGGTGGTGCTGGTGATGATGTGGGAAATGCTGGTGAGCCAGCTTCTGCTATAGTTGTACCACTGACCTCAACCATTGCTGGAGATGATGGTAGGCTATCACACGATTCTTCTTCAGGAGCAAGAAATTCTGGGCGAAGCTGTTCACTTGGACTTGGACTGGGACACGTACTAACAACCTCTTGTTGCTGGTTATCATCCAAGTTCGAATCAGCTATGGTATTGAGACAAGGGTCCTCAGTAGCTTCTTCTCTGTTTTGGGCTCCCTCTTCCAACTTATCTCTCGTCACTTCCTTATCCTTCCACCCTCCAACCTCTTCTTCACTCTTGTCTTGTTCCACACTTCCCCCCTTGCTAATGCCACTATTTTCTTCAGATGACTCCAACACACTTTCTGACGTCCATCCCGCCCCCTCTCCCTTCCCATCCACACTTTTACTATTCCACTCCACGTCTTCACTCCCAGTAAAAACCTCCGTCTTAACTTCGTCTAGAACTCCGTTTGCAAAATACAGACCACCTGGTCCAGACAGAATCTTTTGTGGCACAACTTCAAATGATGGTTTATCTGTAGTAGCGTCAGAAGCTAATTTAAGAGTCAATTTCAAAGGTCCAGGTACCTTATTTTTAACTCTTGGAACTATGTATGATCTTGTGTGTTTACGAGCAAAATTACGCCTTCTCCCCTTGTGTCCACTTCTTGACGTTTTGTGCGAAACTATACGCCGAACATAGGAAGGATTGAGACGCTGAACAATAATATTTGGAAGCTGAACATGGTACAGAAGATGATGGTGAAATTCGACAAAGGAATGATAGGTCTTGTCACAGTATTTACAATATAAGTTATTATGATGCTGTTGAATTATACACTGTAAAGGTTCCTTTTCTGTCTCTTGCTTTTCTGCTGCCTTAATTTTATCTTCTGTCCAGTCACTCACAGCACTGTTGAGTTTCCCATTTCCCAAATCATCTGGAATAAGAAAGATGAGCATTACTGAATGTATGGCTTCCCACTGGAATTACAAATATGTACAGCTTCTTTGTTGCATTTACATTGGACATGATTATAATCCAGAAGACAACACTGAATCTTCACTGCCATAAGAACTTCAAATCTCATATAGTCCCTGGTAATTACTACCTGTTTCCAAGAATGAAAGCCCTCTTGAAGGGGCAAAGGCTCCAGTCAGAACAAAAGGTGACAGGTGGTGAGTTGTAGGAAAGGGCAAAGTGTATCCACCACATTGGAAGAAATGTGAGATAGAAGAAGGGAACTATTACAAAGGTAGTCTGCAGTAAAATTTGCCATGAAAATAATTAGGCTCACATGAGGCAAAAGTTTGTGGTTTGTTTCAATTTTACACAATTGTGGAAATTTGTATTTTCAAAAAATATTATGAACTTCATCAAATCAAGGCAAGTGGCATGGGCAAGGAAAGTAAAACAGATGGGAGAGATGAGAAATACATACCAAAATTTTAGTTAGAAATCCTGAGAGGTAGAGACCATTTGGAAGCCTTAAATTTAGAAAGGATAAGAAAATTAGAATGGATGTTTGATAAATAATATGTGAGGGTGTAAAATGGACTCAAATGCCTCAGGATAGTGTCACCATCATGAGTTCTTGTGAACATGGTAATAAATTTATATATTCTATTAAAGGCGTGAAATGTCTTGTGGACTGATCTGGGTTAAGTGACTTAACAGCTTCTCAAGCTAAATAGGGTTGTCTAGAATCTTCAGGTTCTATGTAATACCAATAAGTTAGTAACAAGCTATGTCTACCATCACACCTTCCTTACATTACCCCTCACCGATAAAAAATAAAATGTGATTGGTAAAGTAGTTCCATGCTTACCTAATTATTCATTTATTTATTTAACAAAGCTTTCAGTATCAATACTATATAGTATTAGATGAGAAGATGACAATGAGAAATTAATTGGAAATGATGTGGAATGTAGTGGTCATGGCCCAAGTCAAGATACTATCCCAGTATATGCCTGGATGGACTAAGGAAAATCACAAAAAACATCAGTCAGGATAGCCAGTCTATAGGCCAAGATTTAAACTGGGACCTCCCAAATATGAAGTAGGAGAGCTAAACCCTCAACTATGATGTTTAGTAGTTCCATGCTTTTTGCTCCTTGTGAAGGCATTCAACAAGTAACACATATGAGTTGGTGAGTATGTTAAGATACTGTATGAATGTTTAAATATTTTAAAATTTGAAATTGCATACAAGGTAACTACTTAAATCTTAGCAACTGTCTAATTTTAACTTGAAAAATTCATAACGCACGATTTCTGCATGATTTATTTTAGACACACATTAGTAATGGCCTTCTTTCTGTGAATGCTATACAAAATAATTAGCTTTAAGGCAATAGATTGGGCTTTCATAGATAATTCTGGGCACCACACAGAAACAAAACATCCCCCAGACATTAGTGCAAAGAAAAACAGAACCAGACGAATGTAAACACAGCTACTCGATCGAAATACCGTACAGCCAGAATTAGGGACTGCGTACAAATCGCGCACTATCGCAGTGTAGACGTACGGAATATGGCGGCTGATATGCTCGCGCAGACAAGCGATGAACGTCCGAGACAAACAAGCATAAACAACTTTAAAAACATCAGCTGAAGTTACACGACACGTCACCGTTCCAATCCGTTAGCGCTGGGTGGGGAGTACTGCGGGAGGTCCGTAGTTTCCAGTTGGTTTCGACCCGTTTGCGAGCCGTACGACTGTTCCCGAGCCCCAACCTTTCCCCCTCCACCAGCCCTATGGGCTGTTGCGGATACAGACGCAGTCCGTACGTACTCATCCGTTTCGCAGTCCCTTGCAAACAGCCAATTATATTGGTGCGAACTGCAGAAAGTAAACTTTGACACATATTTGATGACTACGTCCGTTGATAACAAGAACACGTATTGTGAAGACGCTGTCGTTATGGACGTAAAGCTCGTGCACGAAGTGCGAAAACATCCCGCATTGTATGATCCAAAAATAAGAAGTTACAAGGACAGTGCCGAAATGGACAAATCATGGCTGGAGATAGCAAATGAACTTGGCATGAAACGTAAGTCACCGTCTATCTACTTCCAGTAGAACCGATAACGAATTAATACTGGTTGCAGAATCTGAAGATTCATTATCGCCAGTACCAAAGCACACAACTGAACATGATTTCTGGCCTGATCCACACACCCTCACTTATAAAATCCATCTTAATGTTATCCTCCACCTCTTTTACATGTTCAATGTGTACGTTTTGCAACGGGTTACCCTGTCAAAATTCACTACATTCTTTGTCCCCTTGATTTTACTACTCCAACAATAAAAGATGACTTGCATAAATCACAAAGTTCCTCATTATGTAATACCCTGAATTGCTCACTTTGTGCTTTTTGGTCCAAATATTCTTTTCAAGTACTTTGATTTAAAGCACTGTAACTTACCATCCTACCACATGTGTGACAGGGTTTATTTTCATGGGGTTAATAAAGTGGCCACAGCATGATGGTCACTCACCTCCATCAAGTGTAAAGGAACACCATCCCTTCCCAGGAAGTCTTCATGGGGACTGGTGTTTAATTAAGCATGGACAACTTTACCTTTACCTCAAAGCAGAGACTGCACTTCACATCAATATCAAATAAACTGAAAAGTTACTGTTTTGTACATCCTAATCAAGAGCGTAAAAATGAAGAGCGTTGTATGAGTACTCTGAACCTTCATGCCAGTCATGGCTAAATGCTAATCATGGTCTGTCAGCTTTGTTCAAAGTCTAAATTAATGTTTTTAATCTTCTTCTGAGCTTTACAGCTAACTGAAAAATACTGCAAATAATTCATATATTAGACAAATGCTTAATGTTCTGCATAATTTCCATTCACTCCTTTGATAAATCTGATACACTCTAAAACTTCCATTTATGCAAGATATTCACTGAAGTTTATAAGTGTGCATATTTGTAGCTTTTTTGTTGAAGTCCTTGTTCCTCATATTTATTCTTACCATTATTTCCTTTTTGATCACATTACATTTTAAATACAAATTAAGTCCTTACAGTATAAAGAGGATAAGGTTCACCTTTGCCAATGCATAAGCTTTCACCATGTGTCACTGTTAACATACAATGATAAAACTAAAAACAGGGCTATTGATATACCTAATTCCAAACCAAATTTGCAAACAAAATATTCACACCTTTGAAAATCTAGTTTGGCATTCCAATATTTCCTAAGTTTAATGCTCCAAAGTTAAATAGGATCAAACAGAAACCTGAACTTTTGATGGCAGAATCTGTGGTAATCAATCACAAAGGATCAAAAAGTATTTTTCAGAAGGGGGATATCATGGAACAAGGTCATTTGCTAGAATCACTACAAGAACCTGACTACTCACTCATGTAATAAATTCTGACTGCAAATAAACTGTGGTGAAGGTTGACCTGGGAAATCTGAAAATGACACTTTTCTACTGTTCTTGATAATCAGAGCTTCTACTTCCATAAAAGTAAATGAATAATAAAATCTTATGGCACAGTCGATAAGAGATTTGCTATCAGTCATGAAACTTTTCATAAAATATAGAAAAATTCCAAACTTACTGAAATATCATGTCTGCTAAAATAAGTGCTAGACCTTACTACTAACTAGACATTTTCTTCTAACAGCAAAAATATGGAATGATCACATTTGTAGTATACAGCAAAAGTACATATCCTAGTTCATAAAGTATCTATAAATGTATGTAGTATTCACAGTACATTTTCTGATGAACATGAGCATCCACAGGATGTGTGCAATTATACTTGTGCCTACAGGAGATTTCAAAATGTATGTCTTCCAACACAATGAGAATGAAATAATACAGCAGTACAAGAGAGGGAAGTGTTTTACATTTTCATGATTCACTTGTGATCAGCATCAATAAGAGAAAACACATCACAGACAGGGCTCAAAAGATGTCTGCTTAGTTCACTAACTATATGAAAATTTCACTTGTAAGACACACTGTTTCTCAAGAATATACACACACAACCCATGATATAATTTTATACTTTAAAGCCAATGTTTTACTTGTCACAGAGATACAGTGAAGCGAATATGTTGAGCCTTTTGTTTCACATTGCGAAGTCTTAATAAAAACCCAGCCAAATATATTACTTCAGATATAATTCATTTCAAGAAGCCTGTTTGGTATATCACACACAGCCTTGCTACATAATGTGAAAGTTTGCAGCCTTTTCTTAAGATCTGTTATACAGCCACAGAGGTAAGATCACACTACCAATTAGGTCCAGATAATAATATAACTGGGTACCTGCTATCTCTTATATCATCAGCAGTGACAATCAGTATCACAAAATAAATTGTACAACTTTTTATTTATTACAGCTCTCAATGTAAAAAACAGGTGGCGAAGCTTGCGTGACAAGTTTGTGCGAGAAAAGAAGCGTCTAGTATTGGATGGTGTTGCCTCATATAGATCCAGAGATCCATGGCCTCTATTAGATGATATGTCTTTCTTATGGGACTTCATCAATCACAGGAAGTATGTGAATGCATAAATATAACCCAGTGTATGAGTTGGTTTCACAAACTCTTTCCAATTTGCTCACTATTCCTGGAGCAAGAAAGCATATTTTTTAATGTTTGAAACATGTTCAACAGTTGACTGTACTGACTCCTGTTTAATACCCAGCTGCACTGGACTAAGACTTCAAAATTCAAAATAACCACATTGCCCTTACATTATTTCATTACTTATTTTATGGCTCTGTATCAACTACTGATACTACAGGGGCCTGCCAAAGGCCTGTTTGAATATGTACATGCATAGAAATGTATTCCTTGGAAGAGTTCTTTGGCTACTGTCAGATGGTTTATGGCTTCGTAACATGATTTGGAACCTGTCAGATTTTCATAATGGCTGGTCAAGGTTAGAAATACCTGTTGGGCATCTCTGTATCAGAAAATGCCTATTTAAAAAGAAATGTATTAAAAATTGTTTGAAACAACAATATGAACTTAATTCCATAAGCTTATTGCCCTAATGGAATTCTATTGCCACCACATATCACACAGTAGATTATCTGAACGATGGCACACACTTCCTTTGCACTGCAGGAAGTATCTTCCTATTTGTTTGGACAAATGGCTTGGTACTTCGTCAATTAGATTTTAGGATTGAATGCATCACAAAACTTTGTGCCTCAACTGTTTGTTATTCAAATAATCAGTGGGCTGGCTTTCAGAAAGATTGCAAGAAATGTGCAAGGAACACAGTTTGCAAATGTCACCCTCAACAAAGGTACTAGTGTCAAGCATATTATAAATTCAATAAGCTCACATGCAAAGATCCTAATTTCCTTGTGCTGTTTCGGGAATTTGACAGTTTCCTCTTGACAAGAATTATATATAAATGTTTCTCAAATTCACAGAGATGTGTACACCAGAAAGATGAGTTCAAAAGTCAGGGCTGAATATGTTCAACATAACCTGCAGCCAATCTTACCATGCCCATTACCAGAACAGGTTAATGTGATACTTGAAACACCTGAAGCCTCACCTTCTCATGTCTTTCATCCAACAACTATCAGTGAGAAGCTCAATTCACCTTCCAACAGCATAAATATTGAACCCATGAGAATTAAACAAGATCCAGGTGATAGGGATGAAGATTATGGCGATGATGGGCCTCCCACCTCTAGATTGAGAAGTTTATTAGATCAGACCACACATCAGGTAAGAGAATCCAAGTCACCGTTCTCAACCAAGAATATATACAATGAAAAATAAGAAATTACTAGCGTAAATAAATTGCTGGTAATGATCATGGTCATAAAGGTGAATCTCTACAGTACTGCTTCACTGACTTTCACCAAACCCTGTTTAAAACCTTGCAGACCTGAACCCAATCACTTGGCATAAATGATCCTCATACTTTTAAAAGCTTTGAATTTATTTCTGTAGAGTCCACATAGTAAAGATTAAGCTCAATGAGGGATACATAACAGAGAATTAAATGTAAAATGTTTAAACATTATGGAAGTAGAATCTACCAGAACCAAAATCAAGACATCCAAACAGACTTTAACTGAAAATTTCCTCACCTTCATAAACTTATTTATGTTTCAATGGAATTTTTAAAAATTTATTCTGATGGCATCCTCATCATAACTTCAACTAAGAATTTTGTACATGTATCAGAAACCATTAAGAATACTATGCATATAGTACTGATTATCAGAGATATGTGTAATGGGAATAGTCTCATAGTATATACAAATTCACTATATTCTTAACCATATCTAGAATTCGCCCTTATTGGACATCAATCCATAAACTTTTCAGTGACATATAGTGGTCAGTAATTCACTTGCCATGTAAACCTCCTCCGTATTCCTCCAATGTATGAGTGAAATAAGGAAACACTTTATTTATAAAATTGTAACTAAATCCTCAAATGCACTTGGCAATATAACTAACAATTTACTGTCAACAGGATGAATCCAGTGAGGATACACATTTCAGCCTTCATGGGGATCCTCCAGGATCTCGAAAACCGACTCCAGATGAAGATGAATTATTCTGCCTCAGTGTGGCTGCATCATTGCGAAGATTCAGTCCACAAAGGAAAGCTTTAGCAAAATTACGTATTCAGCAAGTTATGTATGATGTACAGTTCTTGAACCAAGTGCCTTCAAGTACAACCACTGTACAATCTGGTTACAATAGTGACATCATTTTTATGCAAAATTCATAAGTTTAACTGATGACCCCATGGTCTACAGCAGTGCCTGCATTTCGGAGAGAATGAGTTCCTCATTTAATTTTGTAAAGGCAGATATCATGAATGCCAATGTTAAAATCAAATTTCTATTGAAATTATGCCTGAAACCTAAATGGCCTTGGTCTTCATGAAGTAATTTGAATCCTACCAATAAAAAATGTTACTCCAACCAGCAAGTCAGGGCTAACCCTTAAACAACCAGGGGTCTGTGAGACCATAACAGTTTATCAAGCTGAATGTGTTACATTATTAGTTCAGCTGATGCCTGAATTATAAAGTGTAATTGTTTACCACCTCACAATAAACACCCTCATCACTTCAGTCTGGTGACCAGACTGCACGGGTTTTCATGATCCTCCTATAAAATGATTCACAGTAATTAGAATTCTGCACATGATATTAGATTTGAAGCTCTCTTGTCAACTGAATACAATTAAGTCTTCATGGGCAATCAGTCATGTAAGTTTGGGGTTACAAAAATTCAATGTTTTGGAGAATGTCTCGTCCATCATGGTTGATGTGATGAGCCAGCTGTGGGTACAAATATAATGGGCAGTCATATAACTCATCACATCAACCGTAATGCTGCAGGTAGACACACTGAAACAATGTATGTGTGACTGCCCAAGAAGACTTCTATGTACGTTAGAATGGTTGGAGAAAGAAATTACATAGACAAATGTGAAGATATATATGATACTTATCACTTGCTTAGACAATCGGTAATGCTGCATTTTTCCAGCAGTATACTTACAGGCTTCCTACAATCCTCAGAGTAAACTGCTATTTTTGCTAAACAGGATGAACCAGTTGATCTTTGTAATGGAGAAAAGTGTTTTCTTTGCCATCAGAACTGAATCTTAAAGTATTATTTTGATGGAACTTCGATTTCAAAGGTTCAAAAGGATATTAATGTCTTGGAACCATGATAAATGTAGTATTTTAAGGACTTGCAACTTTGTTCAGTTTCTTCTAACATTTATGTTTCAGACCCCCCATAAGCTATGGTCACTTGCTTTGCCTGTCCTCACCTTGATCCTTCTTTCCTCATCCAATGGATCAAATAAGTTTCAACCTGTCTGGCACGTTCCTATTTGTCCACACACTTTCTCATGTGCAGCTTACTCAATGACCAGAGGCAGTAAGCACCTCTGAAAAAAGGCTGTAACTTCCTTTCCACATGTTTAAGAAACCTTTCTTGAACATATAAGTAAAATAACATGATTTCAACATACAGCTTTTTTAACATGTAATTTAAATTTCATTCAAATTTACAGGAAATGTCATTCCATAACTGCATCTAAAAAAAATAAGTATATATGTGAACTGGTAACGCCCGTAACTAAGAAACAAATGCTAATTCGATGATTCCGGCTGGCACACTGATTCACTATGAATGTAGGCCGCACCCCCTAGCGGCATAAGCTCGTACTACATCCGGTTCGCCCGCTATTGAGACAGTCTTGAAACTTTCCGATCGCACCTCGTAATATGTGACGGTATGACGCGATAATGAACTTTCGAGTTGCATAGAAAAAGCTGAATCTATTGACCTGCTAAACGACTATAAGATTTTCTATTCCGTCGGATTACTCACTTGGTTTTAACTGCGTTGTTACAAAAATAAATGGCTGGAGTGTGTGTTGGAGATCGTTCTTCAGTCACAAAGGTTTACTGTGACGTGTGGTCGAGCGGGTTCACCCGAAATTCTAACGGGAAACTCCCGAATTCAAGTCAAGAGTTGGTACGACTGTGTAATCTCACTCGGTCATTCATTCAATTAACAAGGTAAAACCAGTTTGATCAATTTACTGTTGTGTCCTGTCAGGTCGATCACTTCAATCCGGACAAGAGTTTGTCACAACAACTGGAAATTTTTACACTAAATATAACATCTCATTTCATGACTACGAAACAAATGCTAATTCGATGATGCCGGCTGGCACACTGATTCACTATGAATGTAGGCCGCACCCCCTAGCGGCAGAAGCTCGTACTACATCCGGTTCGCCCTCTATTGACACAGTCTTTAAACTTTCCGATCGCACCTCGTACTTCTGTCCTGAACTCTACTGATGTACAGACCATGTAAGATATACAACAATTGAGCTTTATATTATCACCATGATTAATATATATTTCATTAACAAAAACATACTCAGACCAGACATGGTGTTAGTGTCCTTCAGATATAATCTGGGGTATTTAATCCTCTATACTGGAGTTCAGGTCTAAAGGAATTGGATGTAAGAATATGTAGTGCCTTCTAATGGTGGAAGATTCCTTGTTTATGTATGATTTTATGTATGGGTTAGAGTCCCAGCAGTATATTTTGAAGCCAAAAGATTTCCGTGGAGTAAATAATTTGGGAAACACTTGTCTAGAGCAGTAATTCCCTGTGCACTGTGGGAGTTTTCTTTGGTCTGAATTCAAAACAGTAGATTTCAATACAAAAGACAACCTGTAAAGTAATTTAATATTAAAACAAACAATTGGTATGAAAAGAAAGTTATGACTCCTATTTCCCTTTCCTATGTAGAGAATCAAAATTACATTATAAATCAACTACTACAAGGATTGGGCCTATTGACCTGTTCTGGGACGGTTGCTCAAGGCAACTTGTCCTTATTAGTCTTGTAGGGTGCGTTTGAATAGTGAGTGACAAGCCCACTGCCTCTGCAAAATTTCTACTCAATCCTGATTTGTCTGCTAGAGCCATCTCATAGTGAATCAGGAGATTTGGGTGAGAAATTACTGCTGAATTTTGCTTACAAAACATCTCGTATCATGCTCGTAAGGTTCTTATACATGCCATAAATCTACCACATGGGACAGCTGACTTTACTTCCCCTCCAAAGGAAGTTGTGCTACAGATTTTTATCACCCTCAAAAATCCATTGACCTCGGCCAGGTTTGAACCCGCAAACCTTGGGTCCAGTGGCAAGCATGCAAACCACTACTCCACCGATATAATTTTGTAACCTGTTTCTGCACATACAGAGTGGTGCACGAAATGATATCTGATTGAAGTCTAAATAAAAGCATTGATATACATTCATACAATGGTAAATTTATGTTTATGAACACAAAGAATAATTCATGAAGATTTTTCCCTTATGGATTACATGTTCATACAACTACTATTCTGTCGTGCAACTTATGAAACATGAAAGGCTACGTTCACGATCACGTGATGCCACATAACCTATGCAATTTTACCACACATTTGAACAATCAAAGCCCTGAGTTGCATTACTGAGGTTTTTTAAACAATTTTTCCTTAAGGTAACCTGAAAGGAAGAAGTTGCACAGGTTTATGTCCAGTCTACTGGTGGCTACCAATATCCTGCTTGCCATGGATGTGGACATAAGTTTATTTTATAAACAAAAGATTCACCATCACTCGCCCACCTCAATGCACTAACCACAAGGCAAATTCCTTTATCACACTGTAACATACCAAGTTATAAATGTTGAAGGAATTTGCAGAAATCATCATTATAAATTACAAGAATATACTCATTTCAGTATTTTATAATTTAAAAATTATAAAAGGGTTTCTTTCTGAGCAACAACACTTAAAACAATCATACTTTTGATTGCTTATACACAAATTTTCAGTCTTGAAGTACGATATTTTCATGTTTTCAACAACCAATCATAATTAAAAAATCAGGGAACTTAAATAATTCAATAAATACTTTTATAACCAAATGTACCTGGTAACTGCATTGCTGTTGGCACTTAAACTAACCACATCATGCCACAATAGTTTAACTGCCAAAGGCAGTACACAATATGTATTTGGTCACAAAACACTTCAAGCACATTTTCAACAAAATCTGTGTTATGGGAACACTTGCTATAACTTACCAGAAGCTGATGTTGCTGGGGAGTTGTTCATGGCCACCCTATAAAGTAACAAAAACCATATCAGAAACAACTCTATCATTACAGTTTACCTTAAATTAATTGCCTTTTCATATTTTTCTTCATTCACTGCATGAAAATAATATATTACCATAGAAATTGAAAAGTCCACTCCCACATCCTTCCAAATTCAGCATTCATGATCATCTTATCAGTCATGTTATACCATGTACACAGTTCATGAATCATTATCAATGAATAGCACAGCCATATAACATTCAATGTTATCTGAGAGCAAAAATGAAGTCTTCTCACTGCAACAGCTGCACTAACCTAACCTGATAGTCCCACCATTAATTCACACAAAAATGTTGGAGGTGTGTCCCAAAGACCTGATGGATATGTAGAATTATAAAGATGGATGGATATGCAAGAACTGTGTAAGAATGAGAGATATGAACCAAAAACATGAACATTGTTCTCAGGCCAGTGTTGCCTATGTTGAGAAGTTTATGGAGAAGGGATGAATAACAGTGGATGATTATGCAATATTGATTATGCCAATCAATGCTGAAAATTCATCCACTGTTTGTATGCCTTGTGCACATAATTTTGCATGAAGACCTTAAAATGGGCACAGACAAAATCAAATGGATGCTCCAGATACTTATCTACAACCAGAAGACACTTGTTTAAACATGTGCTAGGAAGTGCTTGAACAACAATACTGAGCTCATGTGACGGCACCCTTCACATTGAACATCATCATTAGTTTGGCTTTCAATGTTGAAAGTTGGTGACCCATCATTAGACACGTTCCACAATGTCTCCATCGGTCCCGATCTTCTACTTCTCCGAGTAGGAGGCCCAGCGCTAGATTTGATTTCTCTTCCACCTGGTCCACCCATCACCTTGGGGATCTTCCGCGTTATCTTTTCCCTTCAACCTTTCCCTGGACAATAATTTTTTCCAGGCTATCATCCTGTCGCCGTACAATATGCCCAAAGAACTGCAGAATTCGCTGATAGCATATGGAGGACAGTCTCTTCTGTACATAGTGTTCGTTGAGTATCGAGTTATTGGTTCCTTTCTCCATCCATGATACTCTCAGCATTCTCCTGTATGCCCACATCTCAAAAGAATTGATTCTTCTTCTGTCTTAATTGTCCACGTTTCTGCACCATACAGGAAAATTGGAGACACCAGAGTCTTCAACAGTCTCAGTTTAGTGCATCTACTTATATTGTGATCCTTCCAAATCACAGTCAGCTTTGATACAGCCTCTCTAGCTAGTACTTTTCTTCGACGTATTTCCTCAGTAGAGCCACCACCTTTTCCAACGATGGAACCTAGGTAGATAAAACGATCCACTTTTTTCATACTCTGGCAGTAAGTCTGTTTGTGGCAGGGACTCAGCTCAATCTATTACCATAATCTTTGTCTTATCGTTATTAATTGACAAGCCAAGCCTCTCACTTTCCTCCTGAACTCTCTCCAACAGTTACTTCATTTCAGCTTCCGATTCTGCACAAAGTGTAGTATCATCAGCAAATCTCAGGTTGTTGATTCGTCACCCTTCAACTTTAACTCCACCATTCCAACCCTCCAGACTTTTCCTCATGATATATTCTCCGTAAATATTAAATAGAGTGGGTGATAGAATGCATCCCTGTCTAACTCCTTTAGAAGGTTCAAAGGGACCCAACATTGTGGTAGCCAGTCTAACTACTGCCTTGCTATCAGCACACATGTTTCTAATGAGGGTGATAAGGTGCTCTGGAAGACTCATTTTTTCCAGCACATTCCACAGTTCCTTCCATCTAACACAATCAAATGCCTTGCTATAGTCCAGGAAACACTGTACTAAACGGGTGTTAAATTCTCTGCATTTTTCAATTGTCTGATACTGAGAATCTGCTCACGTGTTCCTTTATTCTTCACAAAGCCAGCTTGTTCTGGTGATATTTCTCTATCTAGGTAGTATTTCAGACGTTCATGAATAATATTTTGAAGAATTTTACTGGCGTGTGATATCAATTAAATAGTTCTCTAATTCCCACAGCACTGTGTCCAGCCCTTCTTATGCAGTGGAATAAAAGAAGGGCCGGACATACCATGCATCAGGTAACTTCTAGTTGCTGCCAGCAATGACAGACTTCATGGGACAGGACATTTTCAGGTTAATAAGCAGTATCCAGTGCCATTAGCCAGTGACCTTAACATGGCCCTATAGAAAGCTTCACCACAATCTTCAGTGTTTAAAAGGAGATGCATGCATGTGAGATTTGCAGTTTTCATCGCAGTAAGGATGTCAACATTGTTGTTATGGGTTGTAATGGCATGTGGACTCACAGGCAGATACAGTTTCAGATAAACATACTGTCTCAATCTTCAGCCCTACAGATGGAAACAGTAGGTTTCTCTGAAACATTGGCATCTTCCTGTATGTTCACACAGTGTCACAACCCAGAACATCAAGATGAAAAATGTAAGGACTCCCACGAGAAACGAAAATTGGTCATTTACTTTGCCAGAATTTACTTAATGGAACTCCATAAAAAATCTGTACTCTTCACTAAATATTATTGGGGTAGGCAAATAAAGTAGGAGAGTTGGGCACTTTGGAGATGAAAAATGCACACAAACAGAAAATCTGAAAGAAAGAAAAACATGGGAAACCTCAGCACTGACACAAGAATATTATAATGGAACTTCAAGAAATTAGGTATCAGAATGTGGACTGGATTCAGCTGGCTCATGAGAGGGTCCAGTAACACTCAATGTGAGCATGGTAATGAACCTTTGCTTTCCACAAAAGGTGGAACATTTCTTGAGTAACTGAACGATTACTAGCGTTTCAGACACTGTTTCAAGCAGTTAATGAAATGGATCTATATTGCACAAGTTGTTAATAGTTACCACTGGTTAATTCAAATAGACAGTGACTGAAAAAATTCATTACTAATAAAAATTCATGTGCATCTCAGCATACTAAGAACAACAGCTTTCTTTAACAAAAATTATGATGGACTTATTAATGGCAACTAAAGAATCCAAAAGTCTTAAAAATTAATCACTCCTTGTTGATGACGGTTGCCACTGATAATCTTGTTTTGTACCTTAAACGTTCAAAAGGATTAATTATAATGGGAGAAATAAATAATCCTTCTTCAACTCTGAAAGAATGACGATGCTTCAAACGGTGAACCAGATAAGAAAAACGTTAATCTGTGCACAGAAATTGAAAATTCCGGTGTTTGAAGTTTTCATGTCTAGGCACAACTACACTTATAAACTAACCAAATTTCAAAACGAAAATTCTTACCGAAACCCATTACACAGAACTGCTCACAAACTACGGAAACGTCCGAACCGTTCAGTACACCGAAAAACAACCAAGAAAGTTGTATTGCGCAGCGTGGGTAGTTCAGTCAACAAATGAACACAGTTTCATAACTGAAATAATCTCCCGCTTTGCCCCGTCAATCAACCTAAACCAACATGGCCGTGACGGCCGTAACGGTACGTGCGGCGAACGCTTCTAGGGACAGGTTTCTAGAATAGATCGACTGCACGGTACCCTTCACACGACCTCAAATAAGTTCAGATTACAGAACATGCTACTGGTTCGCAATCTAATATTTTAGACTTATTTAATATGTATTTGATTATATGGGAACGTATTCAACTGTATATTACGAATGACCTTCAGGAAACACGAATAATTTGTATTAGTAGTTCATTAAAGAGTGATACAGGCTAATAGGTATACATATAAACACTTACCGATAGATGTCACGAACATCGCTCAACTCTGCCAAACACAAACACGAAATAAATGAAATACAAATTCCACTATTTCGAAATCCAAACGGTTGAAGATCTAACACAGCACTGACTATCTTGCTGTGTAACAAAACAGTAGACGCCGAGGACTACAGCAAGATATTGAATTCGTGTTCACCAGCTCAACTTCAGCGGTCAGTGCTTCTCACTCGCTTAGATGTGCATCCTTCCTTACCCATGAGACGAAGGAATGGAATAGTCTGTTGTTGGTCTTAGAAGACATATTGCGTGACGGAACATACAAGCCGTGCACAGAGACAGAAAAAAAAAGTGTTCATCACAGATAAACATATACTTGTAAGGTCGAAACTCTGGGATAAAATAGTCTCAAAGTAGAACAAAGAGACTTTCGCCGACGATCATAGCCGAGAGAACGAGAACAGCCCTGAACCGAGCCAACACGAACCATATAATGGCGGGGTGAGGTGGAGAGGAACACTTGACGCTTGGCAAACAGCAGTTCCGTTGGCTTTCTCCTACCGTGCTCAATCCCTTCGCCACTCCCATGCGGCATTAATACAAATGGTAGAATAGGGGAAGCAAATGGTTGTTCAAGGGAGTTTGTCTAGTGCTTATCACGAGTTGAAAGCAGGTGGTGGGGGAGAAGGGACTGGGAGCAAAAGCTGTCAATTCTGTTGAAACGCCCAAACTGCTATTATGACGTCATTGTATTAAGAATTTATTTTTACTCCATGCGAAACTGACATTTCTCCGTTCTTGCCAGAGTACCTGCGTTTCGGAAACGGATATTACTCCAAGCTACTCACAGTATAACAATAGGCGGACGGCTGTAGAGCAGAGCGACGTATATCATATTTTCAGACACGTTGCACTCATTCATGTAGTATCCAACCCGATATGAAATTTTGTGCTTCAACATCAGACCAATTTCTTGATGGAAGAAACAAATAATAATTCGCAACTCATAACAGATGAGAATTGCAGAATTAAGCAGAAACATGTTCATGAAAATGGAAGGAGTATCTCTGCACAACGCTCCGTAATGAGTTTGTAATTCTGTATATATATCAAAGATATATTTGTAGCAACTGGCATCACTGGATTTGTCATTTGTGAACAATACATGGGATTAAAAATATTTGTAAATATAATTTAACATTTCTACTCAGTTTCAATGCTGATACGAACTTTGCCTTCTGAAAGATACCAATACCACAGTTGAACTGCATTTTAAGTAGGATTTGAGATTCTCTGGGTCCTGATGATGGAAGCAGGACAGTCATCTGAAACTCTGATAAATTCTACCAGACTACATGGCGTTACAGCCATCTTCGCACCGCATATTCTTAATAATGTTTCATTTTTTGGTAATTTTGTGTGTGTGTGTGTGTAATACAAGCATGTTTGAACATTCCAACTAATATATATGAATGTAATTTATAGGGACCATTACCGCAGTTTAATTAGGCTTTGCCGTCATGAACTTGACGTGAACCAGAAGCAGATAAAGATAAATGCCTCCTTGCTTGTTGCATAATGAAGTTAGAAGGTAATGTTGCCAAGTTGCCCCAGGCCTGATCTAGGGTTCTAGGCCAGATCGATTGAGCTTATACCTAGCCCGGGCAAAACGAAGCGCTTGCTTGCTGTTGCAAGTTTGCAAGCGCACCAACCAAGTTAGGATTTATTTTCAAACTATAGATCTTCGTCACACGGACTGGTTCTGCTGTTTGTGGCTATCGATTTTATGATTACCCACATGCTCTCCTAGCCCTCGCTCTGTCTGCAGTAGTTTCACAACGGATACTCGGATACTACCAATGGGCATAGTGTTTGCTATCAATCGCAATACTTATCTACAATAACGATAATATTATCTTGTTTACTCACGGGTACTCATTTATTGTTTGCAGAGCTTGCGCGGAATTGGGAGAACATGACTCTTTTCCCACTTCCAGAAGTAGAACTGTTTATGTATTATCAGAGTCACGTTAAAATGTAGATAATAAATATGAATTTCCATGGTCGGGGCCTTTGTTTGGTTTTCCCTCTCCTCTGCCCGCCCCGGGAGGCCTGGCAAATATCTCTTGTTCATTTCCTCCATTTGCCCCACTCATGCCGCAGTTTCAAATTACTTTTGAGTTCCTAACAGGCTTTGGAAATAAGCTCTCTCTCTCTCTTTCTCTCTCTGCAGGCCGCAGGCGTAATGAGTGAGACTGTTCTCCCACTCTAGTTCCCCCCCACCCGAAAAACTGTAAACCGTGGAGTTCCATCATCGACCAAAATAGAATGGGATATTCGTTGCTAGGTAACGACTAAACGAGGTCCTTGTTGGTTGTCCATGGATAAACCTACTAAGTGACTTACGATGCAGTAGTTCATATACTGTGTATTTTCAGCATTATATAGGCAATGCTGCAAACAACACTGATTTAAGAAAAACAACGGACCATAAAATGTGACTACTACCATTCAAAGTATTTCCATGGTTCTAGTGGCACAATCAAAGTCAATAAAATGTTGGTACTCCGACATACGCGCGCGCCCCCATCATGGCATCGATCTAAATCACGAATCTGAATTACAAGGGGTGACAAAACATTTATTCAGTAGAACAGTATTACTAACAGTCACTGATATGCTGAACAGGTCCTGTTGAAATTCTATTGTTTAACGGGTTTGATAAGTAAAAGTAACGCAATGAAGATGCTCTTATTCGAAAATGTATCAGAAAATTACGTTATCTTCATTATTCCTTCGTCATAACTGAAATATACATGCTACTCAGAGTTACGGATCTATGTAAGGTGCAGTAGCGGGACTAAACTGTGTTTCGCCTTCCATCACAACAAATGTTTTTAGTATGGATACATACTTCATCTGCTTCCCCTATGATCCTATTGGACGTGAACGCACAGATCTGCCCTGACTACTGGATAAGCAGACCGGGACAAGAGTCCCAGTAGCTACAGTTTTTAACAGATCAAGTTACTAATTTTATTTTTACTGTTATTATTTCTTTTTACTTTTTAGTGAAATCACAAACCAATGCACACATGCCGATTTTTGTGTGAATACAATTTTGCTTTGGGCTGGGAACATACATCATTCCAGCAAATAACTCCTCGCATTGTTCGATTAAGATCATGAAGTAAATAGAACTAAAAATAACAGTCGGAATAAACAGAAAGTAAAGGGTGCTTTATCACCATTGTTTTTCAATTCCACTTCAAAATATGCCATTAAAAATCCTACAGAATCACGAGAGTCTGAAACTGAATAGAACATATCACTATTATTAGATAAAAATAAACGCAGGAAGTGATATTAGTTGCATTATTTTTCCGTAATTAACCCCTCAAGCCGGGTACTTCTTACAAAATTGCTTTTTTGGAACATATTATCAATTCAATCGTTCTGAAATTTTCAATACTGTCTCGTATTGTATTCAGTAAGAAATGTATTTTTATGTGTAGACTTACCACTGTCGGCGAGTGAATCTCAGAATTTCTCCATAGTCTGGGCACCAATATACTGTTTCCCTCCTTTTCTTATTCTTCTGACACAGGACACATTTTTTTTCTTGCTGTGAGACGTGCAGAGGAAGGATTTGTGAAGGTCTTCCTTGTTTGCGAGATTGCACTGCCCTACCATATCCTTCCCTCTTTTCCCGCCTTAAATTTACAGCTATAAAACCAAAGTCATTCACCCACATAGCCTGAGATTTTAGCTGTTTTCCTGAGTAAATAGTTTAAATATTGGTCAGATTGCAGAGATATGCTATTTTCAACATGATCGCCTGAGCGTAAGATTACACTGTTCAACAGCCAAAATATATCGGAAATGAAACTAACCAATTTTTTTTTTACTAATTTTAAGCTGCTAAACACGAAAATGACATTCATTTTGTATGACTGGTTTGCATTTCGAAGATATTCATACCAAGCTGTTTCGCTCAATTTTCGTAATTTTCAGAAATGTAATGGACTACTTACTTCAGAAACAGCTTGTACAAGGGTGGAGAAGATTTTATTGCTTCCTGCAGGTCTAGTCAACATCCCTTAAGCAGGCTACACACGTACAGGTATACCTGCCAGGTATGCCTGAACAGACGCGCCTCTCAGGTATACCTCAACGTGTAGATAATAAAAATGTACCGTGTAGACGCACTAGAGCAGGGGTCGTCAACCTAGTCCCTACCGCCCACTAGTGGGCGATTCAAGCTTTCATGGTGGGCGGTGTGGGTTTTTGTCCGTTGTTACAAATTTGGCAGTAAGGACATTTTACCACCAACAAAGATACAAAAGTGGGCGGTAGGTATAAAAAGGTTGACGACCCCTGCACTAGAGCATGAGGTATGCCGAACAGGCATATCTGTTCAGGCATAACTGAAAGGTATACCTGTACGTGTGTAGCCGGCTTAAGGGATGTTTAATAAAATGGTTCAGTTGTCCTTGTGGTTCTGTTTGGCAAATAAGTGTTTTGTGGAGTGCGGATTTTGTGTTTCACTTCGTCTTAGAATACTTATGTAGTAAACAGCAAAAACGTCGTTGTGAGTACTTAAATGATACATTTGTAACACTAAAATATACAAAATGTCGCGTAGATGTGTCAATAATCCTAACAACTTTTGTTATATCTGTGGAGAAGTGACTTTTAAAATATGGAAAGTCTAATTAATCGGAACTTTAACCCTTTTACGATCCCATGTATCAGTTTTTTAAAATAATATGTTTGTGTACAAAAATATCACAAAAACTTTGTTACATGTTCTGCTTTTCATTAATTACTGCACAAAAAAATTTACGCAATTAAAGAAACATTTTTTAGTGGTATGGGCATCGACATTATTGGAAATTCATGTCAAAGGACATCAGCACACAGCGATCACTGCTTGGGAAATCATGATTTACCCGACCATTTCTAAATAATGGAAGTATAAGTATTTAAAGGAAAGTTAAATTCAGAGTTTACACGGTACCTGATAATTTTCAGTATATATTATTTCTTAAATTTAGAAATGTCTTTCACATTGAGAAATAACATATCTGTAGACTTTTAAGATGATATAGGAGTAGTGTCGGACTAAATCATCACACTGGTTATCACTGTGCCAATTAAGAGGCCAGACCGAGTTGGCCTGTCGAAACCATATAAAAGACGTTAACATTCTCATGCGTTAACTATCATAATAATATTTCTAGCCTTCATGTTCAAAGTTCTGGCAGGCCTTACTCTCTTATCCAGTTAAAGCCGCAAGGTAAGCCTCAAACCTCTGAGAGTCCACACACGTACAGACTTTGTGGCAGGTGTGTGCTCAGTCCTTTTATTCTTCAGTCGATGCTATAACATGTTCAATGAAGACAATGCGATTTTAATGGGTCTTGCTGTTACTCTAATGTTGAAAAAGAAAAGAAAGCTGAGACGTTCTAAGTGGGTCAGAAGTTGGTTAGATGGATCAAAACATTCTCACATAAATTTGTTGAATGAAGTTCGATTAGAGCCGACGGACTGGCATAACTACCTGCGAATGGATGAGGACACATATTTGGAACTGTTAAACTTAGTTTAACTTCGTTAAACCACGAGGATCTTAAGTTCTCAGTGGCTGGTTGAGATGACTAAATGCTACAAGCCTTGCCTTTACCCTCGTCTCTGCCCACACACGTTACGACGTAAACATTCAGTAAACCTCAAGGCAAAAAATCAAGCGACTACAGATTTATCGGAGGCTCGGTTTCCGGCCAAATTCACCACACACGCTCCGGTTTGCCTTCAGACACGTAAGCCTTCCGGTAAGCCGTAGCGTGTGTGGCCACCCTAAGACCAGATCATGAGTACAAAACGCAATTCCT